GGAAGATTTGCTGGCTCAATACATTACTAAAACTGAGACTAACTTTCAAAACCAACAAGCCTCGATCAAGAATTTGGAACAACAGGTTGGACTAATTGCAGCCGCACTATCAGGTAGAGCTCAAGGGACATTGCCTAGTAATACTGAAACAAATCCTAAGGAGCAGGTCAAAGTAATCACTACACGTAGTGGCGTCCAGTTACCAGAAATACATGTAAAGAGGCTACCAACTGTCATAGAGAAGGCACCTATCATGGGCGAGGAGCAAGTAGATGAATCAGACAAAGCCTCAAAGGAAAATCAAGTTGAATCATCAGATAGTCCGCAGGTGAAGGCAACTCCTCCTGTCAAAGCATATGTTCCTCCAATACCATTTCCACAGAGATTGCAAAAACATAAGCTCGACAAGCAATTCCAGAAATTTTTGGATGTGTTCAAGAAGCTGCATATTAACATACCATTTGCTGAAGCTTTAGCCCAAATGCCCAGCTATGCCAAGTTCGTGAAGGATATTCTATCAAATAAGAGGAAGCTGGAAGACAATGAAACAGTCATGCTTATTGAGGAGTGTAGCGCAATTCTCCAACACAAATTACCACTGAAACTAAAAGACCCAGGGAGTTTTACTATTCTTTGTCACATTGGTAATTTGTATATAGATAAGGCATTGTGTGATCTAGGAGCTAGCATTAATTTAATGCCTTTATCTCTTTTCCGGAAACTAGGTTTGGGGGAAGCAAAACCGAAAACAGTTTCACTACAGTTGGCTGACACATCGATCAAACACCCTCGTGGTATTTGTGAAAATATTTTGGTGAAAGTTGACAAGTTTATCTTCCCAGCGGACTTCATTATTCTGGACATGGAAGAAGATAGAGACGTCCCCATCATATTGGGTCGTCCATTCTTGGCCACGGGAAGAGCTCTGATAGATGTGCAAAAGGGTCGGTTGATATTGAGGTTAAATGAAGAAGAACTGATAATCAACGTGTTTCGGGCTTTCAGATTTCAGAGCGAACCAGATTCTTGCATGCAGATTGATATAATAAAAGAAGCGGTGTCAGAGGCATTCAAACTAGATCACCCTCAAGATCCGCTTGAGGCTTGTTTAGTGCATTCGCAAGATTTACCATTAGAAAAGGAGGAAATAAAAGAATGTGCACGGTATTTGGCAACCATACCACCATTACCATCTATACAACAAGCTTCAACTCTTGAACTCAAACAACTGCCAACTCATCTTCGTTATGCATACTTGGGGGAAAAGAATTCACTTCCAGTAATCATCTTAAACAATCTTACAGAAGTGGAGGAGGATCAGTTGCTGAGGGTGCTTCGAGATCATAAGACAACAATAGGATGGACAATATCGGATATAAAAGGGATCAGCCCTTCGCTTTGCATGCATAAAATACTGATGGAAGA